CCATATATATTTCTCTTAATGTCTGGAACTTGTTTTAAAGCAAAAAGCATTATCCACAGCATAAAATTATAGAGAATTGTAACATATAAGAAATATGTTTATGTTTTTTTTATTTTTATTTTATTTTTTTTTGGTACCAGGGATCGAACTCGGGACCTTGTGCTTGTGAGGCAGGCGCCAGAAACACTAAGCTAAATCCCCCGCCCTTTTGTTTTTAATTTAAAGTATAGATTTTTAAGTAGTAAGATTGACTTCCATATTTTACGCAGAACTGCACTACAAATATGTTTTTAACTATATTCTTTTTTTTGCCATCTTTAAGTGTCACGCTAGTTCTTTTCATATTATATAGTAGGTCTTTCAAAACATTCACCGGGAATAAGGCAGTTTACATACAGAATGGTTGGCATTTTGGCGTTCTCGGAAATAATTTATTTTGCATAAGCCTGGTGGTCAGATCATTTTATGCATATGAAGCCTGGATTAATTTCAAGCATCTTGTTCAGTGCAGGGACATTTACTTTATAAATTTGTTTTGTTTTTATTTTTGTTATGTAGAATACTGCCGTGGTCATCATAATGTAATATGTATTTGTGTACCTTCTTTTTCATGTTAAAAATCTTTAAATAAAACGTTTAATAAACATCAAAAAAAAATTTTTAAATAAATAAATAAAATTTAAAAAAAGAAATATGAAAAGATTCATTTATTAAATAAACTCGAGCTGGGAAATAGCATAAGACAATTATACAATAGAATATTTTGCTAAAACTTGTACTGAAATTCATTTCAGCAGCTTTATGACTTGTCTGAGAAAGCTGAACATTTATTTAATCATTTGTAACAAAGCCAAAAAGGCATTTATTAGTCTCATAGTCAATTCAACACAATTGTGCTTAGTGCTTACCTTACACAAAACAGTATGTTCTGCATCAGGGATGCAGACATTAACTATACACATCCCTAAGCACAAAGAGTTCAAGGTCACTGAAGTCAGAGGATCCTTTCCACGAGTTTAACATCATACAATTCTCCTTCTTACCAGTGGTTTTTTGGGGGTACTAACATACAAATATTTTCTAACTTTTAAAAGAGATACAGAAAACTGTTTTCAGATTAAGGTTATATCATAATCTTTTAGAATATAACATTTGATTCAATCACAAGTACCATTTCTCACTCAAACATAACAGTATATGAACGCATGCTTATTAATCTATTTCTTAGTATTGACAGCAGCTCTGTTTAAAAAACGTTTTCAAGATTTTTAGAGAAAAGGCAGACCTACCTCCATAATTTTTCAAACATTAAATACAATTCTAACATATCAAAAGCCTATATTGTTTTCTGAAACACAAGTGAAGAGCACAAGTCCTCCTCTGAAGTCCCACAGTAAACTCCGCGTGATGGTTTTAGAATCACTGCTTCTGAAAAACAGAGCTTGACAGCCCCAGTGCTAGACCCATCTGAAAAGCAGGATACCGACATCTTCCTAGTGAGCGCTCACAGTTTCAGAGATCCGACGGGTATGCCTGCAAGTGTCAGCAGTTACTAGAGACTCCTGCAGGAGGAAGAGGACTCACAGCCTCTTTTCCAAACAGAACTGAACCAAAAAGAAATCTATTTTCCAAGTAAAACTCAAGTCATGTACTTCTCACCAGGAACTCCAAGACATTGAACACATGCGCATACACTTTGTATATGCACAGGTACATTTTGTCTTCACAAGTAACACTACTCAGTCATTCTGGAACTGTAAATAACAATGCATTAAATACAAAAATTTTGATGTCTTCAATTTATCAAATCTTAATGAGTATTTCACTCTATACTTTGAATCAAGCATTGTTTTTGTCAAATGCATAGCACAGTCACATTACTTATGAAAAAAACCGCCTCACCTTCCATCTGGGTTTACAGTCTTTAGGCCTCCAGTGACCTCCTGGCTCAATATCTAAATCCTTGGAGAAGAGCTGATGCACTTCATCAAAACTGACTTCACTTACATTGACATTGAGGAATCCCCCTATAAGTCAAAAATGTGAAAAACTGTTTTAATATTTTGTGCCTCAAAGATGTATAAAAGACAAACAACTTTCAGTAGGATGACGGCAGAGTCTAGTTACCAAACAGTACAGTTTATTCCTGCCATCACCACATACTTATTAACACTTTTCATTTTTACATAATACTTACGGTCATCCTTCTAGATTTGGTAAATCTGCCAAAGAAAATCAAGTTCTTTAACCCATTTCTTTTTGGTAATATACTAGATATTTAACCTTTTTTAAAAAAAATGTTTACATGTCATTATAGCATAGTATATTACGGCAATTTAATAACTAATTCAAGAACAGTGGACCCTTGACTTATGAACTCGATCGGTTCCTAAGTGCTGGTTATAACTAAGTCAATACAGCTGAGATCTGAATGTTTACCTGGGTGCACACTGTAGATAACAAGAGGCAGATGAATCTTCCATTAACCTAATTAACCCAGGTTGTTTGTATGTTAGGCCGGTCATAACTTGAGGGTCCACTGTATTTTAAAACTATTTTTAGCTTCAACCCCTTCCACATAGGGTATATAATGGCACAATATACAAGAGTTAAATGAGGAGTCAAATTGACTTGCAGCTGAATCCTAGCTTCTACTGGAGAAATTATTTAACTTTGCTCTGCCCTAGCTCTTTCCTCTGTGAAAGAGTACTATTCAGTAATGCCTGTCTTCCACAGTGGTTTACCACTGTGCCTGCAGGTTCCCTAGCCATAGATTCAACCAACCTCAGATTGAAAATATTCAGGGGGAAAAAAAGAACTGCATCTGAACTGATCATGTTCAGACTTCTTTCATGTCTTTAGTCCCTAAACAATACAAGCTGGGTGTGGTGGCTCACACCTGTAATCCCAGCACTCTGGAGGCTGAGGCAGGAGGACTGCTGCATGAGTTCAAGACCAGGCTGGGCTACCCAGTGAGATCAAGGGCAGCCTGAACTACACAGTGAGATCTTGTCTCAAAAAACAAAACAATACAGTAGGACATTTATTTAGCATTTACACAGTATTAGGTAATTATATATATAATCTATGGCTTAAGATATACAGGAAGATTTGTAGATAATACGCGAACACTAAGACTATTTTACATAAAGGACTTGAGCACCCATGGGTTTTGGTATCCTGGGAAGGAGGATCTGGAATCCAATCCCTACACACAGGGAAAGAGGACTGAAGTCCGTGATCTGTGAGAAGGGTCAAGTGCAGTGCCAGGCACTAGCAACACTGAATAAACATTAGCTACTATTACTATTATCCACTGACATTTCTTTTTATTTTATTTATTTATTTTTTTCGTACTGAGGATTGAGCCTAGGGCCTCAGGCACACTAAGCATGTGCTCTACTACTGAGCTAAATCCCCAGCTACTGCATTACTTAAGAGGAAACTTGTAAACACAATTCAATACATTCATTTTGAGCACCTACCATGTACCAAGCCCCCTGGTACACAAAACTGAAAAACCAGGGACTTGTAAGATGGTCCTAGTCTAATAGGCACTCATTCTCCAAATTTAAAAGCACTGTATGTATTACTGAAGGTCGTTTTATCAATAGTTTTCCTAATATGTGCCTCTGAAATGTAATGGATCATGGACAGTCAAACCCAGCCAACCTAGTCAAAAATGAAACTAGGAGTTGGGGAGCCTATCTCTTCACCCACCCATTAAAATAACTGCATGATCACTAACGATCTTCAGAGCAATGCTGCCTTCAGTGTTTCCAGTGAAGGCCAGTACGACGAAACCGCAGGCCATCTTACAGCAGTCCAGGAACCTGTCACCACTAATGTCCAGATAGGTACTGTACAAATTGCTCTGCAACACCCACCAGCCAAATTCTTCCCTCGAACCTCCACATCTCACAAAATATAAGCCAATAGACGTAGAGGTTTCCCATGTCAAGTTTTCTGAGCCTTTTATGGCCATTTCATTTTTTACACAGAAAACACTCAGTTCCTCTCCAGAGAGCCCCATTTCTTCTGCTACTCTATATTTTATAAGGCTTCCACAATGGCCTCTTCCTATCTCATTTCATTCTGATTAGGCACAACCACCTGCAACTGCATGCAGTCCTGAGGTACGCTAGGGTGTATTTTTAGATGCAAATACCTGTTTCCCGGAGTAAGCTAGGAAAAAAATTGCAATCTTCTAATGCCTGTTAAAGTGACAAATTTATGGTCCTTTACAACCAAATATTCACCCTTTCGTGTGACCAGATATACAAACTAATCTTAGAAAGGTCAAAATTACCTACCAGATGAGAGAACTATGAACTTAGAAAGGCTAAGTCAGATATGCAATTGATCAGTCAGCCTAAGTACAGAGCAGCTAGCATTATAAACAAATAAAATTCACACAGATAAATCTGATCCATTTAATAGTATGGATAATTGCTAAAAATGATAGTAATTAGGCTAAATAACAAGCCATTCATGTAAGTAAATGAAATTGGTATTCTTTATATGTAGTGTTAAACTATATTTTTTGGTTTTTTTCCAGCTTTACTGCTTCAACAGCTGTAATCACCATTATTGTCAGCAGTTTTCTCCACCATCATTGGCAGTTTAATTTCCATCTCCAATGCACATGCACAGCCAAATAAAGAAACAGGCCTTCTCCCTTTCTGCTCAATGGAGAGGGCTTCCTGTGTCCCTCACTCTCCCTGACACCTGAGCAGCCCTTAGTTCTCCTTCCTCTTGGCTGCTTCCCCCACCCACCCACCTCGGGCTCTGAGCAGCTTTTCTATGTGCTTACTGCTCTTTGCTCTGAAAGCCTAATAATTTGCTGGCTGAAGGCCAAAGATGACCCAGAGGCTGGGTTGCCCTACCAGGGATAACAGCAACATCACTCCACTGGGAAGCGGAAGAAGAAAGTAGGCTTCCTAGGACAGGCCCTGCCACCACGAGGAGCAGCAAAAACGTGATTGGAGAATGCCTGGCCCCCAACCAAGGCCACTTTCACCTATTTTTACATACTCAGTGTCCCTTTAGTTTCACTCAAGTGTCTCAGTGCTTTAATAAAGCATGTGAAAGTCACCTGCTACAAATGAAACCAGGAAAGCATACAACCTCCTCACTCATGAGGAAGCCCCCAGCAGGGCAGCCTGGCCCCTTGAGTCTACTGCTGAGACTGCAAGTACAACAAAGGGAGGAGCCACTGGGCTCCACATAGGACCCTGCTTTCACTCCGCCTGTGCTAAATCCCAGATGTGCAGCAGGAACAAGTGTTTTCTTTCCCCAGTTAAGAGATTTAAAGGTCAAAAAATAAATAAACTGAGTGAAATCCACTTACTCAGTAATCAATCAGAAGACAAATGCAAACACTAACTTAGCAGACTGAGTTTCACATTTGGAAGCTGGGGTTAGGGTCAGAAAGGAAAGAAAAAGGAGAATTCGGTGCCCGGAGAGAGGCTGCTGATAACCTGGAGGGCCAAGGTGAAGAAGTGGGTCCTGGCCACACCTGTCAGTGTGGCAGCCAAGCCTGTGTGCCCCACTACGGCTGCTCCATGAGAGAATAATGTCAACACACCACTGGTTACGTGGAAACATTTACCATGACTTCCTAACAGTGAACGTGCACAATGGACAACACTGTCTCCCACTTTAGGAAGCTAGACCTGAATGAGCCTAGAGCCTGTGAGACATACCTGGGCCCTGAGCACAGGCAGGCTTACTGGGGTGTGGATTATAACACACCATATGATGTGATTCAGGTTTTTTAAAAATTAAAACATAACTCTTAAAATGACAAGTACTCAATATATATGAATTACCTACACTACTTACATTCTTCTTACCTTTCAAGGAAGATTCAAGGCAAGCATTTAATCTACAGGCAGTTCTTTTCTCTATAAATCAATAGTTTTAAGCGATTCCTTCCCCACCCTCTGCACTACATCCTGAGCAGAGCTCTGAGGCTGAGAAATAATGAGTCACACTGTCCTCAGTCACCCACTGTCTCCTCTGCAGCCAATACCAGACACTGCCTATTTCAAATGCTTTCCTTAAGCACCTCAATTTCTAGAATTGACAACCTGTTTAAAAAATTATTGCTTATTCAACTATTCTTCAAGTGACCAAAATCGAGCATTCTAGATATAAGACAGACTGGTTTTTGGTCACACACTCCCAAAGCGGGTGCAGTGCCTGGCACAGGACAAATGGATGAATGAGTAGGGGCAGCAAAGCTGGCTGTGTCCGTTCCTGTCTCACTTCTTTTCTCCTCTTACTTGCATCTCCACTCCCTGGCTCCACAAGGTGCTATCTGTGCAGAAGGGGTGCCATGTGTACACCCTCAAAATGCCCAAACTCTCCACTCCCCATCTGATGACAGTACAGCACACAGTTCTCACACTGACTTTCCTCCCTGCTCTACCCTGCATGCCTAGCTGTACCCTCCGGTTAACCTCTGCTCCCAGCTCTGCCTCTAAGCCACCAGTGAAGCCCTGGGTCCACTCACTCCAGGGCTCATATCCTTCATGAGACTCCTTCAAATTGTTTTTATACTCTGATATATTGATAAGCTGACAATCTCCCTCAAAGGCAAAATCTATAGCCATTATGTTTGTATTTCCTTACTTTGCTCATGTTTTAGCATGCTGACCTAAGTTTATATCCAACAGTGAGTGCACTAAACATACTTTCTTGTTCCCAAAAAGCCACTATATATCAATATTTCTGTCAAGAAAATAATTTCTCAACTGTTTCTCCTGCCTTTTCAAATGTGTTTTCTTGAACAGTTCAATAAATTCAATTTTTTTTTCTAGTTCAGTCTTTTAATGCTTATAATTTTAGATAGAGCATGTAGCAAATCAGTTGCCTCTCTACCAAATAGCCTGATTGGGCTTGGTTAGAGACAAAGGAAAGGGACGCTCCACCCTGGCCTCTGCTTCTTATGCTGCCTCTCATCCAAACAGTGGATCCTCCAGCAATTAGGAAACATCTGTATCCTTCTCACTATTCTAGAAAC